CAGTTATTGTTGCAATTTCTTTCATAAGTCCTTTTACCGATTTTTCTCTCATTTGAGCAGATTTGAACCAATAACCTGTAAACTCAACTATTTGAAATTAAAAGAAAGGTAAAAAAAAATAATAATTTACTACATAATAAATAATTAACTTCATTATTGTTGCAAGGTTGCAAGTAAAATGCATCTTCACAAATTGGTGGTCTTTTACTAAAATAAAGCTCATAATCTTGAATAACAGCATTATCAGCAGGTATTGAAATTACTTCAGCTTTAGAATTAGATTCACTTAAAGATCTCTAATTACACTTAGATCTATAAAATGTAACATCAATACCACCATCCTTTCTTTTTTTAAATTGTTGTATCTTTAGATTATAATGCTCTCCACCTCGAAGAGCTAATTCAAGAGTATTATGCCAAAATATGTGTCGTATAAGTCCTTTTGGTAAATCTGGTTGCATTGTGGGATGATTAATAATTTTCCTAATCTCATCTTGAGTAAAAGCATCTGCACCATGTATTTCACCTAATCCCTAATCAGTTAAAAGTTTGATCTTGCCAGTAATTGCGTTATATAATTCAGAATATATATTTTTATTTGTAATTTCTTGTGGACGAATTTTAGAATATGTGTTGATATGTCATGCAATAGCAAATCTTGCTAATTTTATTGATTGTACTGAATATTCAGCTCCATTTTGCTGCTTACATGAAACAAAAAATAAAACAAGTTGAAGCTATAACTCTTCTTTAGAATTCACATCATCTATTTTTCCAGGTAATCCAATATACTTACGAAAAGTTTCAAGTGCATTAGTCCAAGTACTTGTAGAATTATGTGTAGCTTTGCCACGAGCTGCTGTTTGCATACTTTTTATTTTTTCTTCAGTAGGGGCCATATATGTGAAAGTTTCTTTATTCTAAAAAAAAATCTTTAATAAAATGCAAAAAAAAAAATAAAATAAAATATTAACTGAATGAATACAAATAAATATTACTTTTTTACTTTTATTTTGAGATTTTTGTGGTGGCATTATTATAAAAATACTAAAGAGTCAGCAAGAGAAAAAAGCACAATTTGTAAATCATTTTTTCAATATAAACAGTAAAAAATTAAACTTTTAAATAAACTTTTTTAAGCTTTTAAATGTTATGGTCAGTTCCAAACGATAATAATATTATTGTACAGGGGGCAAAATCACTTATTTTATAGGTCAATGTATGATTGGTTACTAATTTTGCCACTGACGTGGCAAAATTAAAACCAATCATACATTGACCTATACTAAAATAAGTGATATTGCTCCTCCCCTATACAATAATATATAATTATCTGCCGCAATACAGTAGATCCTTTTGTTTTTTCTTTGGCTGAAATTTATTTTCTTTGCTAACTAATCGTTTTTTCTTTTATCAGACTTTTACTTTTTTTGGATGCATTTCATTTTTTTTTATTTCGGTCGAAAATTTAAATTTTGTTTATTATACTTGGCTTCGTGTTATTTTTTTTATATTGGGCTTTGCAATTTCTTTTCTCGTCTTTATTGCACTTTTAAATTTCGTTTTAATTGTACTTGGGATATTTATTATACTTGGACTGGAATATTTGGGCTTTATGACCTAATTTTGATTTTACTTTTATTGCATTCAGTTTTTTGGTTCCATTTTGTTATACTTGGGTTCTTTATATTTTTGCTGGAATTTTCGGCTTTATGATTTTCGCATTTATTGCATTTAGCTTTTTCGATTTCATTTTTATTGTACTTAGGAATTTTTTTGATTTCATTTTATTTATTGTACTTGGACTTTATGACATTATATTTTATATTTGTTATTGTGATTTTATTTTTGATTCATTTCTTATTTATATTTGAGCTTCGTAATTTTGGTTTTATTTCTTTTGATACTTTGGTGAGCGTGTATTCCGTTGCTAGTATTGTATTAATAAATTGAATAAAAATTTTATTAATACTATAAAAGGTTGGGATTTATTATCATAATAGTAAAATGTATTAAGTATTTTACTTTCTAGCTTTTTCAGTTAATTTTTATAAAACTGTAATAAGAAATAAAAATAATAAACTTACCTAAAAATTCATATATTTATATATATTTTAACAAAATTAAAAAAAAAACACTCTGAATTTCGATTCGAGTAGGATTAATTCATGATGGTGATATGATAGTACAATTCAAAGAAATGAAATGAAAATGAACATGTGATTCAAAAAAAAAAAAAATACCGATAAATGAAGATTCGATTATAGGTCGATAGAAAATTTATTAGAAGAATCCCACAGTAAACAAAAACAAAATTCTATTTTTTAACCGTTTTTTACTGAACTTTTTAGCCCATCACAATTGCAAACCCATGGGAGCGCCTCCTCATAAACAGTCAACCTACTTCTACGAACAATATACAGACAACTTTACCCACAACTAAAATCAAAACTTAACGTAGTGGAAAAGTATGCGGAATTCCTTATCCTTCACTACCAAGGACCTCAAACAAAATTAAAGGCTGACACGTTGCTTTTATTAACAGCTCTGCCATAACAACTCACAAAGGACGAAAAATGCCCTACAAAATTGGAGAGTTTTTTTCTTCGCATGCTTGATCAGAAGATTTTAGAATAATCACAACGTCCTAAAAGTAGTAAACAACACAGTAACGTGCGAGACAGAAACTGAAAAAATCCAAGTCATTCTTCTTATGTCGTATGTGCTTCTGAACCCTCCCAAAATTTCCTGAAATTATCAAGAAAAAAAAAACCTTACTTTACACACCCGCATATCACAAAGAAAAAAATGCAACTACTAGTATAGACAAACCATAATCATCAACGAAGGAACAACACTTCAATATTATGCTTTCAAGGCATCATTGGATCCCGTTATCGTTTCTTTTCTTCCATTCTTTTTTTCTTACACTTCCTGTCGGTTCTTCACATGTAATTTTTTTTATCCTCAAAAGTCTGTTAGGATTTCCTGATTGTTTCTTCCCGTCTCCTGATGATGTGCGCCTCCGCCATGTCATAATGCACAATGCAGCGTTACACATACGATTCGTCGCACAAAACAACGGATAAACGTAATGTTGAGCAGTGCGACTTGTTTAAAAATATGGTTTCTTTGTTCTCTAAAGTAAAATTATTACCAAGAATTTTTATTGTATTAATCTAGGTCCACAAGTCCCAATCTTTAGAACAAACAATAAAGAGCTTATTCAAAGAGTTGACAACTATTATGCACTAGAGCTGTCTTTTTTTAAGAAATCATCAAATTATCTATAACTTCGTTAAGTTACTTTTTATAAAGTAAATGAAGAAGTCGCTTGTAAAACTTTTGAAATTTTCTCCTTATTCATTCTATTGCTGTTATTATGAAGGCAGATTTTTTGAACATTCCACTTTTGATACTAGAACGAATGAGAGTAGAAACTTATTAAAATTATTATACTTGAATATTTATTAATTATAAAATTTTCCTTTTTTTTATTTTATTTTGTTTTATTTTTTTTGTTATATAAGTGTACACCATCTAATACCGGCTTAATATATGAAAAAAAAAATATTTATTTGTAGTATATAAATATGCGGATTTTTTTTAGAAATTAAGGAGATCTACTTACTGCGTATCTATATACTGGCGGTGAATACTTTACATGGAAAGGGGCAGTGCAGTACGGTACCTATGGTACCTATAAACGACAGCAACACATAAATCAATACCTATATAAGTACAATAAATAGTATTCCGCTAATATTTAATTCGGGAACCCATAAAAAGATTTTTCAGACAAAGAACAGAAAAAAAAAAATTGATTATCGGAATTTTATCCAGAAATTTATTTGTAGGGATGAATAAATAAGAAACTGTTATCTTGAATCAAAACTTTATTAAGTTATTTATAGTATACTCTACATACTATTTATAATAAAATTGATTCACTATCATAGTACTTATCGGGAAAAGTCCTGCAAAAATAAACCTGCCAGAAACTAAAATGTACGTGCTTGTGATGATATGGACTATTGCGATAAACTAAGATCATCAAAATATTTTTATAATATTGACAATACATACATTAAGCGCTTGTTAGAATATTTAATATATCTCAATATACATCAAATTATACTATTAAGAGCTATAATAAGTCGAAAAAAGAATTTTTTATCGCCAATGTCTAAAAAATTATGCATATAAACAAATAATTTTAATGTGGCTAATAATTAATTTATGACTGATTTATATGCCGGACAATTCCGTTCCTTAATGAAAGTACTACGTACTAAAACCTGTTTATTCTCATGGTTTATAGTTTTAAAAAGAAGTTTAGAAAGAAGATTGAAATTTCTATCGAATTTATTATTGTTTAAAACATTTTCAATGTCGTCAAATAATAATTATGAACCAAGAGCATTCGAAGCGTCGTTTACTCAAATAATTAATTTGAATAACAATAGCGGCAGGAAAACTAGGGGAAAATATACGAAATTGGCGTGTTCTTATTGTAAAGATACAAACGATAGTGTCAATCAACTTTCTAATAAAGTAAACAAAATTGAAGAAATTATTACCAATTTTAAAAATCGTCCGAGGAATAAACCCGAATTGTCCTTATTCAATGCAAAATTTACATTGAATAATGTACCTTGCGAATTGGAATATGATTTATCGAATTTCACGCTAGAAAATTTACAGAAATTAGCAAGTTTTACGACTCAAAGTTTTAACAACAATATTGTTAATAATGATAATGAATATGGAAATTCTTCCGATAAAATTAAGAAAAATGAAGATTAAATTAATCTTCAAATTTTATCCCGGCAAAAAACACAAAACTTCTTATGCTATTTTTATTTTGACTTTTATAATTCTGTTTATTCAGTTCGTTAAATTTAGTTAATATAAGTTTAAAAAAAACGCGAGCAAATATATGAAATAAGCAATAATTAAGGTGATATTATGAACCAAAGAAAAAAAAGAAAGATTAAATATTACGCAGTAAATTCTTCTAAGATCATTAGAGTTAGCTTAAATATTTATAATTAATTAACTTTAAAACTCAATTTACCTAAGCTCAATTCACTTCATTTATTCCATATAACATAAGGGATATATAAAGATTAGTATGATAAGACGATAAGATTACTTGTAATTTACTTCTTTTATTTTCGTATAAATTTATTGTTTGACAAGTTACCGTTTTACGTACTTTTTAATATTGACTTATATATTTATTGTTTGACAAGTTACCATTTTACTTTTAATATTGACTTATATATTTATTGTTTGACAAGTTATCGTTTTACTTTTTAATATTGACTTATATATTTATTTATCGTTCATATCTCTGTACTATTTAAAGATAATAAATTGATAATGTATAAATAGAACGCGAATTTACACGAACATTTGGCGATAAATGATTTTTCCATAAATTATATAATCTCATATCATACCATTCTAAATATTTATAAATAATGAATATCCATATGATATCATTGGTATTCAACTGGTTAAGCTTCATTTGCTCCTGCATATGTATTTTGTTTGGTAATAATAGTATCCACATGATACGTAAGATATGCAAAATAATTTTTTAAGGATTCTGTTTTCAATTCACGATTAGAAAATTCCGATAATTACAGTATAATACTTCTTATTCGATTAATGGGGCATTACAATCAGTCTTTTTTAGATATCGGTATTTATGATTCGACGCGGGAATGTCCGATTGCTTAGTAGGCGTAAAAAATGGGCAAATGGGCGTTATTTTTAATCACGTGATAAGCAAGCACAATCTGAGATTACCAATAAGAATTAAATCTCCCATAAAAATATTAGTCGGCAATTAAAATCCCTCCTATTCTTATTTTAATCTATCGCCTAATGTGGGACAGTGTGCATAACACTATATGATATCAATTTATAGAGATAAATTATTAATTATGATCAAAATACTCGGAATTACAAGTGGTACGCCAATTAATTAATAAAAAAACCGAATCATTATACTTACAAAATATTTAAGATTCCATTATTTAAATATAAAAATATATTGGTTCATGTACTGTCCAAATATACAGTGTGTAACGAAAATAGTTACGGTTGATATATTTCTTTAAATTTCTTGTTGACTGGTGATTCAGATTGAACAATTTTTTTTTATTTCATAAAATGAATCCAAATTTAAATTTGCCATGATTTGAATTACTAATTAAATATCTTGATAAACAATAGTAAGCCAAATAATCTCAATTTTTTTTGCATTTGATATTATAAATATATATTCTATACCATATTAAAGTTTTGTCAACTTGATATTCTACTTTAATTTAAATTCATTGACAATTTTTTAAATTTTAAAAAATATGTAATGTATATATATAAAAATTTAATATAGTACTCTTAATAATAAATTATTATTTTATTATTGATAATGAACGTTTATATTACACAATGATTAAGATATTCAATTTTTCTTCTAACCGCAATTTTTTTTCGCTTACACACTATATTTAAATAAATGTTAGATCATTTCGATAAAAGTAAAAATTAATATGCGGTGGTCTATTTTTGAGAAACTTGTGCGTTAACATATATTATTTGATAAATGGTTACACAAAGTAGAAATGTCAAAACACAAACCAATTTTTTTAAAATGCGGATAAGATTTATTTACCAATCATATCGTCGAATTTTTATTTTCCGTCAGGTCGACTAATAAATAAACAAATCTGTTTTTTCCTGTAATATCTTATGCATTAACTTTTCTAAACGTAACTTGTCGGATTTTTTTTAATGTCAGGAAAATTCCAAAAGGAAGGAAAGTTTTAGCCTTAATATTTTAGTAGTTTAAATAGATGTATTATTGATCATTAGATGTAGTTACCCGACTTTTCATATAAGAATATTAAATATTTCTGACAGTATTACTAATATAATTTCTGATAGAAATATACATATATTATTTTTGGCATATATATACTAGTATTGTTCATTACTATTGTTTAATTGGCGTAAATTTGATGCAAATAATACAAGAGGAGATAAATTATAATTTAAGATGGATAATGGACAAGCCAGATTGAACAGCTACCTTCTAAAGTTTTAAGTATTATTACCTCATATGTAAAAAAGGCATTTGGCAACTATTTTGTTGTAATGATAAGAAGTAAAACATTCCATAATTTTTTAACACTAATGTTATATAATAATTTTAGGCTAGGGATGGTATCGGTTTAGGTGAACCCGGTTTAACCGCAGTTTGAAACCGAACCGATACTAGACGGTTTGAATATTTCAAACCATGGTTTGTCAAACCGCGGTTCTAACCATGGTTCAAGCCAATTTTAATCTTTTATATAAAGTAAAATTATTATCAAATAAAAAAAATTATAAAATCAACAACTTTTTAAGTTTTAAATTAGAGAATTAAGTTATAATAAAATTTTTGTTTTTTTCATTAATAAACTTTAAAAATAATTGTTTTTATTGATAAAATTTAATAAATAATAATAAAAAAAAAGTCATTTTTTTTTATTAATAAATTTTAAAGACATTTAAAGAAAAACTTAAATTGGCCAATTATTTTGATAATCCATCTTGTACCGTAGGTTTAACTGCGGTTTGAACTGCGGTTTGTACGGTTCGGTTTGTACGGTTCGGTTTGTTGTCTAAACCGCTGGTTTATAAACCGAACTGAACCGAACTGAACTGATGCCATCCCTAATTTTAGTATATCGAGCTAAAATTCTTTGCTTAATAGTGAATAATTAACGTTGTCATAATTTTTTTCCTAGTAATTTAATTTTCTTGTTTGATTTTCGAAACTTTTAATAAATAATTTAACGTGATACTGTATGACGAACCTCTGATCTGCATGAACAAAAAAGTCGCAAATATTAACTTAAATTAATAACAATGAAGTTGATTATTTTAATAAACCAAAGCAATATTATAAGAACTATGTATATTCTAGAGCTTAATGTTGATTACTTATAAAACAGATATATAGGAATTGACCGAAACATTTATTACGTTTATTATTAATATTTGAATTACATAATGTTAGCACCTGCATTTTCCAAAAAATTAATGTTAGCTTACCTATTTTGTTACAATAGTTTTTTAGTTTTTTTTTTTTTTTTTTGAGAAATGCTTTTGTCTAATTAATTTTGAAATGCTTTTATTCTCGAGTGTGTAACGATTACTATTTATGCTAATAAAAGCAAATTAATTGTCTTTGTGAAAATCATTCGGCGCAGTAGCTTAATTCATTTAAATGAGGCATCAATTTTTTTAGTAGTACAAAGAAAGACTTCATTCTTTTTCTTTTCAATCATTCAATGTCGTCGAAAAGCTATAAACGAAGTACGGAAAGAAATCCATATATTCGAGAAACTAATCTAAATAACGATGATAGCAAGAGAATTAAGGAAAGACCTAAAAATTGTGTCTCGACTATAAAGAAAAAACCAGAAATTATCAATAATTTTACAGAATGTCCGGTTCCAATGGAGGTAGATGATCCGACTGAGTATGCTCTTTATCGTTCATGGGACCCCATGGATTTAGACTAATGTTTCTATACTTTCTAATTTAAACGCAAAATTACTATATATATATTATAAATATTTATTAATTACGATATAAAAATCATAGTAAAGTGGACTTTTCAAAATTATCGTCCAAACTAATTATAGAGCTATTATTTAAATGAACAAATCTCTACGTAAGTTCCTAATATTTTCATGCTAAGAAACAAATATTATTCGAAATTTTGGAGGGTTGATGAAATTTAGAATTTATTGGTCAAAAATTAGATTTTTAATTTTTTGGTCTTTTTATTTCTTTCGGATGTTTCCGTATACTCACCATTTGTTGAAAATATTGTTCATGCGAAGAATTTAAAGAATTAATGTTAAATTTTATGTGTTGAGAAAACTAGAGTTTATCGAGAGTTGATTGTACGACCAAATTTATAAAGTTTGTTTATTGATTTATTTTAGTTCAATGTAACAAGATAAAATATCAACAATAAATTTAAAATATATCATATTAATTTAAAATACATTTAACTTAATAATAATTTATCCTTTGTCTTAAAGAATTTAATTGGTTGGCTCGTTTTAACGATACATTTGATTGTTAAATGTCACATATTGGGAAAAATTTGAGTTTATCGAGTTGGTTGTGCGACCAAATGTATAAAGTTTATTGATTTCAATGTAACAAGATAAAATATCAATGATAAATTTAAAAGGTGATAGCAGATTTACTGTATAATTTAGGTTGAACAATAATAGTCTTATCATCAACATCAGAACAAGTCGCCAGAACATTATTATCGTTAGAATTCTCATTAATTTGTTTTTGTGCCAAGCGATTGAAAATAAATTCCTTCAAATAATATTCCAAATTATTTCTCTGGCCATTAGAAAAAGTCAAGTAATCTTGATACTATTTGTCATGTGTCGATTAAACTAACCTAGTAATCGTACTCCAATTCAAAAGGTACAGTATATTAATTAAATTTTGCATTGAAGATAGAAAATTGATTATTCTTGTTAGTTTTTATGGAATATTCATAAAAATTATCAATAACTTCTACAGAGGCGAAAAAATAATTTATTAATACACAGCAAATTATGGGTCACTGGTATACATATTTTCCATTTTTTAAGTTTTCTAAATTTTGACGTATTATTTACTGTCCAAGAACCTTACCATATTGGTCCAATTCCATAGGGTCCCAATCACTAGAACAATAAAGAGCGTATTCAAAAGGGTCATCAATA